AAAAGGGGGAAAATGGGAGAAAATGAGGAAAAGTGGAGAAAAATGGAAAAAGTGGGGAAATGTTTGGGAAAAGTGGAAAAATGGGAAAAAAAGGAGAAAAAAAGGGGAAAAAAAGGGAAATGGGAAAAAAGGGGAAAATATGGAAAAAATGGGAAAAAATGGGAGAAAAATGGGGGAATAAAAGAAAAAAAAAGGAAGAAATGGAAAAAATGGAAAGTACAAAAAAGGAAAAGAATGGGAAGAAAGGGGAAGAATGGGAGTAATGAAAAAAAAAAGGGAATAAGTGGGAAAAAAATGAAAAAAAATGGGAATAAATGGAAAAAAATGAAAAAAAATGGGAATAAATGGAAAAAAAATGGAAAAAAATGGGGAAAAAATGAAAGAAAATGAAAAAAATGGGAAAATTTTGAAAAAAAGAATGGGGAAAAAATGGGGAAAATGGGAAAAAATTTGCAATCTGGAGGTGATGGTGAACATCCACGTGTGGGACGGCCGAGTCAGGGGGAAAACGGGGCCAACATCTGCAGACCCCAACCCATGGGAGACCCCGAATCCTGGGAGACCCCAAAATCTGGGAGACCCCAAATCCTGAGAGACCCCAAAATCTCGGAGACCCCAAAATCTGGGAGACCTCAAATCCTGAGAGACCCCAACCTGACCCATGGGAGACCCCAACCCTTAGAAGACCCCAAATCCTTGGAGACCCCAACCTGATCTCTGTATGACCCCAACCCATGGGCAGCCCCAAATCCTGAAAGACCCCAAGTCCTGAAAGACCCCAAAATCTGAGAGACCCCAAATCCTGAGAGATCTGAACCTGACCTCTGGGAGACCCCAACCCATGGGAGATCCCAAATCCTGAGAGACCCCGACCCATAGAAGACCCCAAATCTTTGGAGACCCCAACCTGACCTCTGGGAGACTCCAACCCATAGAAGATCCCAAATCCTGAGAGACCCCAAAATCTGGGAGACCCCAAATCCTGGGAGATCCCAACCTGACTCCTGGGAGACCCCAACCATGGAAGAACCCAAAATCTGGGAGACCCCAAAATCTGGGAGACCCCAAATCCTGAGAGACCCCAAAATTCTGGGAGATCCCAACCTGACCCCTAGGAGACCCAAACCATGGAAGAGCCCAAATCCTGAGAGACCCCAAAATCTGGGAGACCCCAAATCCTGAGAGACCCCAACCTGACCCATGGGAGACCCCAAAATCTGGGACAACCCAAAATCTGGGAGACCCCAAATCCTGGGATATCCCATCCCATAGGAGACCCCAGCCCACAGAAGACCTCAACCTGACCCCTGGGAGACCCCAACTCCTGGGAGACCCCAAATCCTGGGAGACCCCAACCACGGGGAGATGGGAGACCCTGATTCCTGGGAGACCCCAACCCATGAGAGACCCCAACCCAACTTCTGAGAGATCCAAACCTCTGGGAGACCCCAACCATGGGAAAATCCCAACCTAAGGGGGACTGTGACCCCTGGGAGACCCCGACCCATGGGAGACCCCAACCCCTGGGAGAATCCAATCCCTAAGAGACCCCAACTCAACCTTAGGGAGACCCCAACATCTGGGAGACCCCAACCCATGGGAGACCCCAGTTCAACCTCTGGCAGACCCCAAATCCTGGGACACCCCGATCCCTGGAAGACCTCGACCCATGGGAGACCTCAAATCATGGGAGACCCCAGCCCAACCTTAGGGAGACCCCAAAATCTGGGAGACCCCAACCCATAGGAGACCCTAACCCATGGGAGACCCCAACCCAACCCCTGGCAGACCCCAACCTATGGAAGACCCCAATCTCTGGGAGACCCCAACCCAACCTCTGGGAGATCCAAACATCTGGGAGACCCCAACCCCTGTGAAACCCCAACCCATGGGAGACCCCAACCCATAGGAGACCCCAACCCATGGGAGACCCCAACCCATAGGAGACCCCAACCCATGGGAGTCCCCAACCCATAGGAGACCCCAACTCCTTTGAGACCCCAACC